GGGCTCCTGATTGTTGTTGTTGTAGTGAAAGGTCATGCAGGTGTCCCTAGGGTTACCTTAAGTGCACCAGTGTGAGCCCTATTAATTAAAGTAGCAAAAACATCTGAGCTGTGCTATCAGAAGAAAAATCATTACTCGAACTCCGACACATTTAAATGAACACTTAATCTAATGTAGGGACTGTTCATTTCAACAAAAATTTAAAGATAAGTCATCTTTTGACCTACGCAACAACTTTCTCGAACAGCCATACATGTAACGGCACAAGCCTTTGAAATGTAAACGTCATCTGATACAAAACGAAGAGCCTGTTTTGTAAAAAGTCAAAGTAATAACATTTTTTGTTTGTATGATGAGACTAAAGTGAAATTTTCAAGTTTGGTGTATGACACTTTTGACATATATCAAAACCACGACAGTTCTGTAACTGTTGTTCGTTTTTACACTTGGCTAATATATAATCAATTAAAAATATTGGTGACGAAATAAAATCGTCACTAAAATGTATATTTTTATACTGTTGGAATTTACTTTCATTACACAATTTGACACGTTGTACCGACTGAGATAAAGCAACTGTCAAGTTTGCCGCGCGCTCAGATGACATTTTAATTTATGCGCTACAAAAACAAAAGCAATTTAGCCTAGTGTATAATCTTTCCTGAAGAAAAAAAAGGTTTTAGACTGGTGGGTCTTCATTTTAGACCGGTGGGTCTTCGTTTTAGACCGGTGGGTCTTTGTTTTAGACCGGTGGGTCTTCGTTTTAGACCGGTGGGTCTTCGTTTAAGACTGGTGGGTCTTCGTTTTAGACTGGTGGGTCTTCATTTTAGACCACAGGGTCTTAGGTCTTCGGTCTTTGTTTTCGACACATCCCACCACACTGTGATTGATATGTTAGCGAGGAATTAATCCATGAGAGTGTCTTGTATTCCATAATAATGTAGTTTAGAGAGTAATTGCTAATGACGCACTTTATCAAATGTTTTGCTGAAATTAAAAATTTCAAGATCAATTTCAGATCCAATATCCATATTCTTTGCAAGGTCTTCAATGGTGAGTAACAACTGAGCTCCACAGAAATGCTTTTTCCATGTTGATTTAATTAGCATTCAAGATGTTGTTCTTCTCTAAATGTTGCATAATACTCTGATAGACCACATGTTCCATCACCTTACACAGAGTCCCAGCCTGTAATGTTTGGGTCTTGCTTACTTCCTTTCTTAATGACCGGCACAATATTAGCTTACACCAATCCTCAGGCAGTTGACTTGTGTCATAAGATTGATTAAACAAGAAGGAGACAACTTTCAGCAAGCTGAGATGCTGATTCCTTTATAATATGGGTGGGGATATCATCTGGACCCCTTGTCTTTTTGCTATCAAGGCTATGGAGGAGTGTTTTTGGCTCCCTTAACATTAAAAATCATTGGATCCACGTCTGTCATACTACCAGGCCCTTTATCAGGAAAAACTGTCACATCTTCCAGTGTGAATACTTGTTGGAATTGCATATTTAGTGTTTGAGCTTTGCTAAGGCTATCCACCTTAAGTCCTGTATCACTTTTTAGGGATGGAACCCCTATCTGTTCCTGTCTCTAAGACTTAATGTAAGATCAAAACTTATCATCAGGGTTAATGTTCAATGTTTCTGCTATGAAATCATCTTGAGCCTTGCATATTTTCACCTTCAACTGCTTTTGAAAATGAAGATATTTCTGTTTGTGAGCTGGGTTGTTTAATTGCTTAAAATTGTTGTACAATCTCTTCTTCTTTCTCAGCAGTCTTTTTAAATCTCTTGTGATCCATGGAGTGTCAGCCCATGTACCCTGTTTCTTTCTAGGGACTCTCTTACATACAATTTCTATCAGCCCTGCTTTACAAAATTGCCAATTATCTTCAATAGAACATTCCAATGGATTTCTCACAAAGAAGGCTCTATTCAACTCGATAGCATCTAATTTCACTGCATTGAAATCAGTCTTGTCAAATTTAAACACAGTTCTTGGTTTCTCATTAGAGACTTTAAATGACAGATTTGATCAAAGGATATAGCTGAGTGGTCACTTATCCCCTCCCCTACAGTGTATGTGAAGATTGCTTACTAAGTCAAAATGGCTAGTTAGAACAAGATCTAGCATTGATTCACCTCTAGTTGGAGATGATACCAATTGGGAAACAGCAAAGTTATCAATGTAGCTAACATCTTTTGGTTCAAGGACAGGCCATATTGTGGACTTGAAGACAATGATGACTGATGCCATGCAATATCTTTAATGTTAAAATCACCAGTAAGAATAATACGTGGACAAGATCCGCTGGATTGATGACAAGACAGAGATTTTTCAAGCTCATCAAGATCTCACTCTTGGGGTCCAGGTGGTCGATAAATTGATACTAATTGATGTCACTCAGTGTGACAATGTAAACAGCTTTTTGGTGAAATGGAGATTCCCTGCTGCACAACATTTAGCTGCTCTGGAATGGCGACCTTAAACTGGTTAAAATATTTTTTAATGAAGGTTTCATACTGTTTAACAGCAAGGAACATAAGCTTATGCTTATGAACAAAAACAACTCTTTTAGGGGCCACCAAACTTGTAAAAGCAATGATCGATACATACTCTGATAGTAATAATTTTATAAAGTTCTTATTAGTTTGCTATTTGATAATGCTAGTTGCTGTTTTGTTTTATTTGTCCACCAGTATTGAAAGGTCTTCCAAAAGGCTATAACGGAAGAGCAGCTTAAGAATGTATGATCTAGGGAGTGTGTATCAGCCAAGCATTGAAGACATACATCGTTGTCAGACATTTTGGCTCTAGAAAGAGACATTTTAGTTGCCAGAATGTTGTGTCTTATCTTATATTGAAACATTGTTATTTTAATGTCACACTTGATCTGGAAATGTAATTCGTACACTTTTCGGACGGTTTGTGGGGTGATCAGCAGTAGGTGGTACGAAGAATTTCTTCAACAGCAAGTTGTACACATAATTGGTGGAAATGATTTCTTCTTTTTCCTCACTTTCTGGGCATCGGGAAGGAGGATTTTCAGATACTAACCTCCAAGAAGTTGAGATAGCATTAATAAGACCAAAGTAGAGGGTGAAGGGCATTTTGAGCTTAAACTTATAACAAAAGTTTTTTAAGGACAGGAATTTACTGTCCTCTTGAAGGAGATCCTGGATTCGAATTATACCCGTAGTTTCTCGGTTATAAGGCGCACTCGGCTATTGTCATGTTTAAGCTTGCATAAATTAGAATACATTATGTTGCACGTGACGAGTGGTGTTGTTGAATAAA